TCAGTGACAACAGCACTGATCTGATCCCATCGAAGACCCTGAGCCTTGAGAGTGTCATTCAAAGCGGAAAAGGTGTTTTCAGAGGTATGTCGCTTTTGATTCAATTCGAGAACATCAATGAATTGCTTGAGTTCAGTGTCTCGTAAAACTAAAACTGCGTATATACTGTTTTTTGATACGTCAGTCCAGCCATCTAAAGTGATAGTCAAGTTTGACTGTTTCGCTAACTTCTCCTTGATTGCTATCTCGTGTTTAGCATGTAACATTGGAAGTACATTTTCCATCATCCGATAACGAGTAGGAGGCTTGAATACACATACAGCTAGCATTTTTTGATAGTTCAAGAAAAACTTGTTGTGAAGGAATCTAAAGGCTACCTTCCCCGAGATGAGGGATTTCAAAAGCTCTTCGTCAAGATCAGCTAACTTGGCCTTGTCGTACGTTCTGAAGTGATGCAGTGAGCTGAAATCATGGATGAATTTTGACTTTGGAACCAGTGAGGGAGCGCCATCATCACTTGAGCCAGTTTCCGTTGCAGGTTGAGAGTTTGATCGCCCAGTCTTCTCATTATGCTCAGCAAGTATGAGCTGTTTGTATTCTGACTTTTTTGAGATTGAGATTGACGGGCATTTCTTGGTGATATGATTAAATAATCCACTTGGCTTTCCATCCAACGTAGCCTTACAGTGCTGACATTGAGCCCGGCGGCGGTTTGTTGATGTGTTCAGTTCAGCAGACATCAAGAATCCTGTCCATCGCTTTCCAAATCCGACGGTAGGTTGGTTCCACTTGGCTGAGGCGGACTTTGACAAGGAGGATTTGACTTTTGGCATGATATGGAAGTATTATATTGCTGACGGTGGCTTTGAGATTGAGGATATGTTGTAAGGTGAGTACTTTGAAGTGTGATTTGAATTTTTTTCACACAGTAACTTGGTGGAATAGACCTAAGTCTAACTTGGGCACGCCACCCCCAAAATCGGCTCCAAAAGGCCTGCCCCGGGCCTGCCCTAGAGGCCTGCCCCTGGGGCAGGCCAATTGCGCCCCGCCCACCACGTGACTTGACACCTTGACAATTTGGACAATCTTGTACCCCTATGCCCTTGAATCTGCCTTCAATTTCTCCGCCAATCCTGAAAGTTTCTTACGTCAACAACCAACCACTGAACCTACTGAGTCCCCTCCTGCTCCACCACCTCCTTGTTATAACTGGAGACCGCAAGAAATCAATTCCGGTACTCCTGAAAAAACCTGCCACACTATAATACCTTCAACATCTCATTCTCTGGAGGAATCGGACCCAACCAACACTCCGGACACCAAGATTGTCCAAGAATTTCTTTTGGCTCTTACTCCTGTAGTTCCTGGTAGCTTCATCTACACACCAATGGCTGCCTTTAGCAAGGGGGCCTCGGAGGCCAACACTGTAAAAAGGAACGGATCCAGAGAACCGGCAATCAAAGGATGAGATCATCAAAGCTCTACACAAACGGATGAGGCAACTAGAAGACAAGAACACGGCTTTTCAAGCTTGAGCAGCAGATGCGGCGGCGGATTGGTTATGTATTGATGCACTGGAAGCAACAATCTCACAGATGGCAATGTCTCTATCCCCGGTGACTGGCAACAGTGGTGGAACACACAATCCTTATACGTTACACATGGCGCATCAGAACAACCTCAACACTCCGACTCCCCTAGGTCCAAGAGCAGGACAATTTGGAAGTAATGTTGAGACATACCAACCGCACACCACACCAGCTTCGAGTCCCAGATCACGATTCCCGGCACTTGTGAACATAGGAGACCCAATCCCTGACAAGCCCTCTGCAAATGTTATGGCTGATTTACGCCAAAGTATGAGGAGAGTCTTGATCCAAGTACCTCAACCTGCTACCATGGACAATGCCGATGAGTCCAACATACAAAAAGTGTCAGCAAGTACCATCAAGAGCTCTGAAGTCCCAAAATTCACAGTACCAACTGGAAATCCGGCTGCACTTTTTAACTGGCGATGTCTAATTGAACAATACTTCACACTCCGTAACGTGATGGATGACAACAAACGCTGTATCATCTTCTGCTCAGTTATAGTCAAGCCATGAGCTGAATCATGGTTTGTGAACTTGCTGTCGGATCTGAAGGAATTGTCATGGAATGAAATTGTGGACAAACTGGCGGTGGAAACCTTTCCAACGGGATGGTTACAAGACACTGAAAAAGCAATTCAGCAACTTGTGATGGGTGTGAACGAAGACTTCAAAACATATGTAGGCAGAGCACGGGATTTATACAACATGGTCCAAGTTTAAACAACACTCTCGCCACATAATTTGGCAGAATACATTAGTGGCTCTCAAACCTGACCCAGTTTCAAAAAACCCGGTTGCCCCAGTTGAATTTTTGGCTGGGAGCTGTCAACAAATGTCAACTTGATACACAAAGTTACTGCCAAAAAACAACTGGGTCAACTGGGTTTTTTGAAAACCGGGGCAGGTTTGAGAGCCACTATTGTTTGGGGGACCCCAGATGTATTTCAAAGATGGATCAAGGACTGTAATCTCCTGGAAGTGTCTCCATTTAAAATTTTTCCTTTTGTATTGGCCACAAATAATGTATGGGACGTACTTGTAGCAAGTAACCTGGTACCAAGAGGCCGCCTATGCCAACCAACCAACGACAACAACCACCAAACCGTCGTTTGCAGCACTCCACCAACGGGCACTTCCGCCAATGATGTGAAGACTCCCAAACAACGTGCCGACACAGCTTGGCACTATCATAAGTACCTGCGTCAAATGGGTCTATGCGGATACTGCTGTACAAAATGTGGTAACCCAAGATGCAATGGACCAGCAGGAGGACCCTTTGTTACGGTACCCAAGTCAGTCAACCCAGGCCCTCAACCTGTACGGCAACAAGAAGTCATGATCAACCCATGGATTTGACCATTGGCAAACAACACCAGTAGACCATCGGGTACGCCAGGCGCTGCTACAACACAATCTGCAGGCCGACCACCAGCCCAGCCTACACAACCAACTCTGGTGGCGAGTTTAGATGCAACAAGCAACACCAATGAAGTACCAGACCTCTTTGCTCAAGACTTAGCGCACTATGAGGAGGCTGATCGAGTCCTGGTAGCACACTTGGCACGTGAGGAAGGTGAACCTAGGTGTGCCGAGGACTCTTCTACCTATACCAAGTCAATCATCCTGAAACTGAAGATCAATGCTCTTTCTGTGTGGGCTCTCATTGATTGTGCAGCCAAGACAAATCTCATGTCGGATTGAGTGAACAAAGCAGCACGAATCCCTCGGCGTCCTTTAGTGGCACCCGTTGAAGTCAGATTGGCAATTGAGAACGGTGAATCAAAACCATTCACTTTTTGAGAATTCTGTTTTGCAAATGTTGTGTTGAGTGATCCATCCTTACACTTTGGGTTGAACTTTTTCAAATTAGCACTGATTGGCGAGCGATTTGAATGAAAAAGATCAAGAATGATATGTCTTGTGAAATTATTTCTTGTGTAATGCAGAATCTCAACAAAGTGCAAGAATCTCAAGAAGTTTCCGCTTGTGAGGAGCAAATCTTCAAATACTTTTCAGATTTATTCCCTGAAGAGCTTCCTGCAGTGGATACTGAGGAAGAGGATGATTTCTTTGCCCCAAAAGGACAAAATAAATCATCGAAGGTCTGACATAAAATTATTTTAACTGATCCGCATGTCTCAATTAATGAAAACAGTATGCGTACCCACCAAAATACCTAGCAGCCTGGAATGCATTAATTGAACAACACCTCATGCTAGAAGAGTTCAAAGGTTGACCAGTCAGTACGCCTCACCCTCCATGTCAATCCTGAAAAAAGACCCAAACACCTTACCGCGATGGGTCTGCAACTACAGAACACTCAACAAATACACTTTCAAAGACCAATCACCATTGCCAATTGTGGATGAAGGGGTTAGACTGGTAGGGAAAGGCAAGATATTCTCAATTGTTGACCAGATAAACTTGTTTTTTCAGACTCAAATGAGGGAAGAAGATGTGGCGCTGACGGCAGTCAAAACACCTTTTGGCCTGTTTGAATGGGTGGTGATGCCGATGGGCTTGACCAATGGACCAGCAACTCATCAAGCAAGAGTTGAAAAAGCACTGTCAGAGCTAATAGGGAAAATATGCATTGCTTACATTGATGATATTGTCATTTTCTCAGATACAATAGAAGAATATGAAGAACACCTCCGGCTAGTATTGGAACGTCTGCGAGCGGCCAACTTGTACTGTTCACCAAGGAAGAGCAAACTCTTTTGCAAAAAAATCAACTTTGGCATGAAATCAGTGGTGAAGGTATATGCCCAGACAAGTCAAAGGTTGAGAAGATCACTAAATGGAAAACTCTGTCGTCACAAAAACAACTGCTACGTTTCCTAGGCACCGTTCAATTCCCGAAGAAGTTTGTTGATGGTCTCTCACATTATGTAGGGACACTTCACTGTGTCCACCACCTCCCTTCTCGACGTTGAGAAGGGTAGAATGTCTTGATTTGGTTCAACTTTGTTCTAACTTTATTGCGGGTTAGTTCCACTGCTGAGTATCCCACTCAGCATAGACTGAGAGATACAGGAGTGATTAATCAGAAGCCATTGAGCCTCAGGGAATTCCTCAGATGTTAGAAAAATTGAATTCACAATTGTTGAGTAAGGCAACAGAACCAAATATCAACAAAGACAAAGTCTGGTACAACTGTATACCTATCCTGGTCAAAAGAAACGATATGGCACAATTACAAGTCCCCCTGAAAGGGAGCCATACTGTAAGAACCCTTTGTAATGAAAATTATGATGCGCGCCCCCAAACCCCCATTTCATTCTGTCTTTCTTTCCCTTATTTCTAGACGTATCTCGCTTCTCAGCTGTGTGAGTGTGACACATACCTTCACCTCAATTATTGACTCAACTTTTCACATATTCCATATATCTTTATCCAAAGCTCAAAATGACTCCTCCAGGATACACAAGTTCCAATTCAAGTACACAATACGAAGATGCTCCGACTCGTGAGTTCAATAAATCATGAGGCCAGTATTGAGTGATCCCCTTCATTGACTTGTTGAACTCATCTTCCCAGGGGCGCATAGCCAAGAAGACCGCTTTCACTCTGGCCGATCTGCTAGTCAAATCAGCAAGTTGTATCATGATCTCCTTCTTCATGATATCTCTGCTGATGTGGCGTCTCTGATCTTATTCTCAGCTCGATCATTAATAGCATCAAAGAAACCAACAGAAGCCATTGAAATTTTAAAACCATATCATGCTGAACATCCAGCAGCAAAATCCGTAACCTTTCTAGCCAAATATCACTCTAAACCAAATCATACTCAAACAGAAAAAGAAAGTATTGGAGAAGAATCCAAAGGATTAGCTGATGAAATCTTAGATGAAGATCATGATAGAGTAGATTCAATTCTAAGATTGACAATCGCAACCGTTTTACATTTGATTGAAAATACAAATTTAGCTATCTTTTTACTAAAACAAGGTGTACAATTAAAATCATTAGAGTCGGTTAGTTTATTGATTTATCTTTATTTAACTTCTAAAGATAAACGACCAGATCTAGCTAAAATGTTATATAAATCTGTTAAAGGTTGGGCAGATGATGCTATTTTATTACAAATGACTGAAGCTTGGATTGGTACGGTTACTGGTTCTGGTGCTAATACAAATGGAAAAGAATCGGGTGGTTATCAATCTGCCTTCTATGTGTTTGATGAGATTTCTAGCTAGTTCGGATTCAGTTTTTGTTAATGTGGCTGGTTTGAATGGGAAACCTGTTACACAACTCGCTATGGGTCACGTTGAAGAAGCACAAACCAATTTGAGTGAAGCTTTGAAAGCAGTGAGGATCTTTTTGTTATTCCATTCTCTCTTCATCTCAGTTTTGTATTTGAGCTTGATGTCCAAAAAGATAGAACAAACTCGCTGACCCAACGTGTTTTTTGACACAAATAGAACCCAAGAGATGAGACCACACTGGCCAACCCTATAGTAGCTAGCGGACATGCCGATAGTGCAGTATCAACTGCTGGAGAACATCTCGAGTAGTCATACTCACTCCCTCAGAATCTTACATTCCTTATCATAAACTGCATCGAAATTCTAACACCATCATTCTATTTGCGTTTGTTTTTAAGGCAATTGAGGTCGATTACTCCTTCACATCCATTGGTTGTGAATCTTGATCGACAATTGGCTCTTTTTGATGAAGCTGCTAGTAAATTTGTTGCTTCGAAAGTTTGACTTGAATGATGGACTAAGATTTGGAGATTGGAAATGTACTAGTTTTGATTAAGAAGATTTGAGCATAGGTAAGGGTGAGGAAGGGCTTATTGAAAACACTTTTGCTAGATGATGAAAATATTGTGGAATTTAAATCTACAACAAACACACGATTTTTCCTTGCAAGAGATTCACTATTACACTTTCTTCATTGCACCTGAGGAAGACAGCATATCTTCCTGTCGTGTATTTCATGAGGCATGTTTCAATTGAATTGGATGATCATAACAAGATCATCATCAGGACTTGTCCATGCTTGCAGATATTCACAAACAGTATAATCCCCAATTTTGGCAATATAGGCTTCAGGTGGTCCCCCAACTTTCTCAGGCCGCGTGAGCAGATAATTGATCGCCTGGTATTCAGAAGAAGAGTGATAAGTAAAGTGACAAAATGAAATAAAGTTAGGAGATCATACATTTAACATAGGTCATGACATTCGGGCGTAGGTGCTGTAATCAAGAATGAAGTTGGATGCTTGATTGAAGTGGATTCTAGTAAGGCAGGAGTAGATTGAGAAGATAAGAGATGTAATAATTGAGGAGTACTCTTATAAGATCAAATGACTTTAGGAGTTGGACTTGAATAAGGTGAATCAATGTTTGAAATTTGAATGATGACTGGTATTCAGCTTGAAATTGCGGGAGTTCGAAGCAATTGATAGGTTTAGCGGCTGCCGGGGTATCAATGGCTTGTGACAATGCCTCGGTATGATTGAGGAGGATGAGAAATTTGGATATGAGGGTCGGGTAGGTGAGCGAACTTGAAGTGTGAGGTGCAGATTCTAGTTGGAAACGGAAGGTCTAGTTCTCGATGCTTTCAAATCAGACTTCAACTAGCTTTTGATGAGTATGGTCCAATGAGTTTATCTCACCGTGACACCTTCGATCAATTGAACTAGTTTGGAACAAATGGTATTGAAGGTGTCCAGAGGAAGTTTACGCAGTTTGTCCAAGTCATTCAAAGTCAGAGAGGTCGCAGTGGAGGGCCTTTGCTGAGTTTCGGAAGTATTGTTAATAAGACCAGGTGCAAGTGTTGGAGAAGGAGATATGGGTTGAGTAATTTTGAGTTTCTGGGCAAATAAAATTGGTGAGCTAAAGTTCAGCTTCAGGAGATGCTAATGCTATTATGTTCACATCATAATCGTTACTATCGATAGAAGTTAAATCATCTTGTTTGGAATGCATCCTTTGGAGGAATATTGATTGAATGGGGTCCAAGGGGGGGATCGTTCAGTTCAAGAAAACCAGGCAGCACGCTGATGCACAGGTCTGAGCTGTCCAGATTTTCAAATAGCTTAGGCCGCTTAGGGCTGCTTAGGGTTGCTGAGGTTTTGAATGAGTGGAAGAAACATTTTTTTTGAAAAGACCTTTCTCGCACCAAACTCCAACCATTCTACCCTTCTCGACATCGAGAAGGGAGGTGGTGGACACAGTGCTTTCTCCTCTGACCAGTACGAAACAAAAGCATGACACATTCAAATGGGGACAAGCTGAGGACAAGGCATTCAAAAACATCAAACAAATCATGAAAACCTTACCAGTCCTACAAACAATGGACTACAATTCCAACAAACCATTATGGCTCTTTACGGATGCAAGTTGACATGGATTAGGAGCTGCCCTGTTTCAAGGAGCCAAATGGGATAAGTCATCACCTATATCTTATGAAAGCAGGACAATGACACCAGCCGAGAGGAATTACCCCGTCCACAAGCAAGAGTTGCTAGCGGTTGTCAACACATTGCAAAAATGGAAGCTGATGCTATTGGGCCTGAAGATCAACATCATGACGGATCATCACTCGTTAACTCACTTAATGAAGCAGCGTAACCTCAGCAGGCGGCAAGCACGCTGGTTAGAGACACTATCCCAGTTGGACTTAAATTTCACTTATGTCAAAGGCGCGGAGAACACTATTGCTGATGCCCTATCACACACTGACAATGTTGCATTGTGTGAAGTGATAGCAAAGTTTGACAAACCAACGATCACCAGATTCAAGAACGGATATGACTCTGACCCCTTCTGCAAATGCCTTGCGTCGACACTCCCACTCCGCAAAGGCACTGAGTGGAAGGACGTTATCATGTTCATTGAGAACAGACTAGCCGTACCACAAGGTGTAGGAGGGTTACGTCGTGAACTCATCCAACAAGCTCATGAGGCGTTGGGGCACCTTGGGACATTAAAGATGGTAATGCAACCCAGATATGAATTCTTCTAGCCGGAACTCACCAACAATGTTAAGAGATTTGTGGCTACGTGCAACAAATGCCAGCAAACCAAGGATCATACAACATTACCTACGTGCCCTCTACAATCAACAGAAGTGCCACAACAACCCATGGAGGACATCTCATTAGACTTTATCTGCCCTTTCCCAAAGATTTGGGGGTGTGATATGATTCCAACAATCACTGGTTGTCTGTCAGGATACATACGTGCAATCACTACAAAAAAAAAAGTTTTCTGGGTGGATTAGGTAAATATATTTGAGCAAAAAATTGTACCCGGATTATGCAAATGTGCAAATTAGTCAAATACGGACTCAAATTAGGTGACTCCAGAGGATTCCCAATCCAGGTTTTCCTCTGAAAACATAAATTTTTTACAAGATGAGACAGAATCATGTTTCTTCTCCTGTTGGATTCTCTAAACACCTCAAACACTGCTATGAATGAATTGAAAAAACAAATCCTTGACCAGATATTTCTCCTATCCCTTCTTGGAAAACTCAAATATAAGTATTGGGCTCACTCTATTTTGTGAATTGAGCAGCTGCAGACATAGTAATACAACACAAATAGGATCTCTTCCCCAAATTTGATTGAATGATCCTCAAGGTACCATAATTCCACAAGATAATCTAATATCAGATTAAAAAACATCCTGATGCCTCAATACTTATTGCTTCAAAGCCTTGATTCACATATCATGCTACACAAAACATGAATACATAACTTGAATTTCTGAATTCGCAGCGCACAATACTTAATACATATATCTTTGTCACGAAGCTGTGTAGAGGAAGAGAAACTAAAAACATGATTTTGGAAACATAATCCTGACTTCAAGAAACTTAAAAAACATTTATAGGTGATTTCGTGTTGTGCTGATTGCAAGAAACATTTACTATGTTGGCTGTTACTGAATCATGTAAAATAACAATAGATTGACGAAGCAGAATATTGTCAAGCAGTATCGAGTCAATGGTTAGAAATTTTCACATCCACCACAAGAAATAGAATTACATACCTTATCTGTTTCGTCTTCTTGGACCAGGTCTGCAATTATCCAGTAGTGATACCCTTCAACCAAATCTTCTTCTTTTGCAAGTTTGGGTTCGTCCATTACAAATTTACGGTACAAAGCTTTATAATGTGATATTTTCAAGACTGGGCAGTTGACAAATACCTCGGGGTGGTGAGCTTGTAGCGCGTGTCTTATTTGATGAGTAGTAAGTTTGTCAAGCCTGTTTGATGAAACAATGTTGGGCTTTCTAGTGTATGTGCTTTTCTTGAGACCTGCGAGATACGGGTTGACATAATGCTTGTAGAGAGCTAAAACCTCGTCCTTTAATGCAACAGAAGATATACTAACTCGAGAGCTTTGAGATCTGATTGCGTCAGAGAGCATTGCAACAGTGGTTCGGCGGTCGAGTGGATCAAAGTCTATATCTTCTTGGTCGGTTTCCATTTGAGATGAGAGCGGAGCTGGTGGCGGAATGCAGAAAGGTGCAAGCTGAGGTAGCAATTCCGTCTTGAACATGTCGATCAAGATTTTCTTGAGTTTAGTTGGACGTGCCTTTGTGTTGGGGTTGAAATGCAGTAAGACGTTATAATATTTAAGGCTAGTGAGATTGTACGTATCGTTTGACTCCCAATCGTGGCATAGGAACGGGTGTAAAGAGTCGTGGAGGGTCTTAACTTTAGCGTATAGTGGATGTTGAGTCAGTGGAATAGAGTTTGCAAAGAATGTGGTTTTGTCACTAGAATTTAAGGGTGGTTCAGAAGTAGGATTCGGAGTTGGTGACAGTGTGTTTCCTCCCGGAAAGCTAGTAGATTGCCCTGGTATGAACTTGGGCCTGCCGCCGGGTGATGTTATATGTCCAGTGACCGATATGAGATCCGGCTTGCCTTCTTGACTACTTTTACCACTTGTGGTCAGGGAAGGCTTTATATTAGTAGGTTGTTTTGAGGTACTCGGCATCTTCGAACGCAGAAAAATGATGATAAGTTGAAGGTATTCTCCTCAAAGATCTGTAACAATTCGACGTGATTTGGTAATCATGAGCCAGAAAATCATCAATTTTCAAAGCAATTCAAAAGTTGAACTACTTACTTCAAGAGTACAGTGCGTAAGATTCAAAGGAACCTGACTAGTTAGACCAAGGTTCAGATAAGAGACAATTGTCGATCAAGAAACGTTGTATAGCACAGATTATCAATGGAAAATGCGGGTAAGCCAGTTGGATGATAAGGTAGCCAGAAGATAGATGACTAGAGAAAAAATCAGTGATGCTGAATTAGATAGAATTCGCTGGTAAAGGTGATCTCCGAAAGCGATTTGATGGACAGGGATAGAAGGGGATTTGAAAAGTTTGGACCAATTTACAATCAACATAAAAACCTGCAGAAGGAAAGTGGGGAGATATTAATTACCTACATGTATACGCTTTTTAAGTGGGAAATACGGAGGGTCATCGAGAAATGGAAGGTACAACACTTGCCTTTGTCTTTATGATGTATAATCATCATGGGAAGTAGTAACTACATCCCTTAAACTTTTTTGCAACAAATCCACCTCTTGTTTATTCGAAGCAACACCCAGCGCTCCGTTTTTCATTTGTATCATCTGTATGTATTACGCCATGATCTGGTTGCAAAGCTTGGTCAACCCCAGTGTTGTACATATCAAGTCAAACCACACTGCTTGTTAAAGTCCTCCTTTATAGATACATAGTGACTTGTATCAGTTATTTCTTACAAGAGGGTTGTACCAATTAAGATACAAGTGCTCGAGTATAGAAACACTTGGAACTCAATGGGACAGATATGAAAAAAGAGTTGTAAAGATTTCATTCAATATTAGTAACAAAACAGATATCTCACTTTGCTAATTCGTGATCAGGCTCCTCTGATTTTATCTATAATTGAGAAGTCCAACCTGTTTAAAAAACAGAAAAACCAAACAGAAAGAAACAAAAAATTGACATTGACGCTCTGTTTTCACATGATCTGTTTCATTCATTTAACCCACACGTAAGAAATGAGTGATTGAAACTTATCTCAACAAAGAATAAAAAGGACCAAATTCTTTTTTCTCAATCACAAATGATACTTTTGAATAGAAATGAAATTTTCTTTTCTTTGAAATATTCTCTTCATCTTTTTAATACCACAAAATGATAAGAAAGAAAAGAGGATTATGAAATATTATGGAATGGTGAAAAATTGAACATGCACATGAATAGAAAATAATTAAGAGGATCAAACATAAGACTTGGATAATCAAGAAAAATCATGTCACTCCTTAGGTACCCGCTTTACTAACCTATGTTGATGATCATACTCAGCTGGTCAGATGATTACAGAAAACTATTTACCTTGGCTGTGAAGAGTTTCATAATATCGAACTAATCACATAGAGTAGTGATCAGAATAAGAAAGAGGTAATGATAGCTACTTCTCATTACCGTCTTGTACCACACTAAAAATTGTTCATTAGAAAGATATATACTATTTATATCACCACAAAACATTGATCGAGCCTTTGCCTTTAAGCAAGTTGAGCTCAGCTTTTATGACCTCGGCTGCTATGTTTGCTCCTCTTTTAGTTGACCTTCACACTAAAAGTAGTTGTTAATAAAAGCTACATCCATGTGGACCAAACAGAAAGGCGATCGGGGTTTTACAAATAGGAGCAAGTGAAGACAAGATTTAGCATCCAGAAAACATTTGACAAGAGAAAACCTTACAGTTTTCTTGGATCGACTTGACTGAAGACGTCTTTGTCAAATTTCTTGAAAGCAGGGGTTGAACATCCTTAACTACCCTTCCTTGCGTACTTACAGTGCAACCATTGAGTCTTCCTATCTTTTCAGTTCTTCAAACAAAGGTGTTCTGAGTTGAATTCGACACACAATTGAAGTTGAATGAAGATGATTGACGACATGATTGTAAAATCTAGGTGATTGGGACACAATGGACGAAGTTTGAATTTGAAGATTGATTGATCAAGTTATACATGAGATTGGTTTGAGTAGGCTGTCAAAATGAAAGTGGATAGAGTCAGACTTCCGATTTGAAAAAATTGTAAAGTGACTCAGAAAGAAAACGCACGTGGTGGGTTGGAATAATTGAATGGTAAAAGAATTTGTTTTGTTTGTGAAGCAGAGACGACTTAGATTGAGGCTTTGGCAAAGTTTGTTGGTTTAATGACGGATCTTGAGGATTGGTGATGATTGAAGTAGGTGGGTTTGGAATTGACTTTTTGGGTTTCTTTTGATCCGGGGTATGGAGATTTGATTTAGATAATAAAAGACTAACCAGCTGAGGCACAATCGAGTAAACCTTAAAACTTCCTATCAACAATTATCACGAGTAGCCTACATCTAGCTGGTCATGAGTTTAACTAGTATATTCAATAT